GACCTTGAACACAGGGTCTGTTTGTGGACTCATTGCTTTTTTAAGAACTGGTCACAGTGAGTCAGAAGTGGACCAACAATTTCTCTTCTCTACTTTGCTGCATTGCAGCCCCACAAGGCTGAGGGCTGAGCCCCTTCCTCTTCACAATGTACACACAATGTCTACCAGCCCACAACACTAATGCAATAATCAGATTTGCAGATGACAACACAGCAATGAGGCAGATAACAGATCAACATGAACACCCCTATAGAGAGGAGGTATAGAGATGGATGCACTGCAATTCAGACAACAACACAAATGCTAAAGTTTTCACTTCCCACCAACAAAGACAAGGTGGAGTGAGTCTCCAGCTTCACATTCCTGAAACAAACATTTCAGAGGACCTCACATGCACGATCAACACCATCTCATTGATCAAAAAAGTCATAGTGAGAACACTGAGGAATCTTTGACTGTACAGCACCTCTATGGAACAACAGTACTGCTGTTCCATAGAGGTTGTCATAACCTTTAGGTCTATCATCTGCGTCAACAGCAGCACAGAACCAAAAAAATTCCTTCAACAAGTCATAAAGGCTGCCAGATGCATCACCAGCACACATCTCCCAACCCTGGAGGACATACATCCTATGGTACCTCCAGAACGCAACTAGCATCACCGTGGTGTGCAACCATACAGCACTTATCTCCTTGATCAGAAAGGAGGTGAAGGTCCAAAGTGTTTTTTTTTTTTTTTTCAAAACAGTTAACACAGAGTCCAGTGCAACTGCTTGTCAAAATGACATATTTTCAAGTCAGTGAGTCTGTGCAATTAGCTGGTTTTCTTTAGATAGAACCAATCCGACCGTATGATCTGGCTGAATTGTCTCTGCAAAGTTTCTTAGGATGGCATGTATTGTGAATTGAATTGAATTTTGTTTGCAAAAGGTTCTTACTCTGCCAAAACATTTAAAATATGGACCAGTTAACCACCAGATTTAACTATTGTTGTTTTATTGTTTGCTGATCCATATTTTCGATGTTTAATCTCTGTCTTTATCTAAAACTGTGAAATGTTAGCTTTGTTTTTTATACTGGTAAACATAATGGAAACCTGGAAGTGTCTCTAACAACAAACTAAAGCCACAAGCTTGTTATATACATAAAAGGAAAGACAAAACATAAAATCCCTGAAATTAAATCCAAAACAACTTTCAGGGTTTAGACATTTTCTTTTGCTAAACTGTGACCCGTCCACCAGCGATTAATTCAAATGAAGGGCTTGTGATGCCATTTTGGTTTGTTTTTCAAGATACAAAGTGAGATGAAGCGCTTTCCATAAAAAAAAAAATCAAAGGTCTGTATTTTAAGTTTGTCTTCCATGATGTCCTCTTCCAGAATAGCCTGGTCTGCAATGATTTGACAATAACCGCAAAGTGTGAGACTAATGCTCATAATGTTCCCAATAAAAAGTCCCAAGCAGAACAATGTGTTTCATGCTGATGCTGCCAAGTCCAGCAGCAAAAGCCTGGACTACAAATGAGACACTGCAGGCAGCAGAGAGGCAGACCGCTCCGTGGGAGATAACTCCTTTGTTTACCAGGGCTTTGATTCATTCTGAAATATCCACTCAAATTAAAGTCTGTCTATTTTGCTTCAATGGAGCCACCCAGACAGACAGTGTTAGCTCAATCTGTGAAAGCTTGCATGGAAAACTTGTTAGTATACAATGAAGTTAGATTTTATGACAAGCAGATCTATTGAAGGTACACCTACTGCCTTGTCTTGACTCAAGTCAAGCAATAAAGGTTTGACGTGGATGTTTATTACACCCCTGAAATGAATCATCCTTCTGTAAAAAAAAAAAAGCATTATCCAGAGCAAGCAACTTCCGACTCCTCCTTCATGGTGACACTTCACAGGGAAAGTCATCAGTGGAGCTATAAGTAAACCCCTAAATCTATAGATGTGGTGTTCCTCCTCAGAGGCTACTTTCAGAGGGTCTTAAATCAGAGCAGAAGATTTATGACCAATAATCAGACCAAAAGGAAGTTTATTTTTGCATTGCAGTTATTACACAAAGGTAAAAATAAAAAGATGAATAAATATTCAGGTAACCCACCAACATACCAGGTATTAAAACGTCTTTCTTCACTGTTTATAACTGATTGTTTTTCCGAAAAAGTTAAGTAAAAAAAGCAAGAAAAAGATCGATTTCACATAAGTTTCTTAATAAGATGAAGTGTCATTGAATTGAATGGAGCATTGAGATACAACAGTGTGAAAAAAATACCTCATAACTCTCTTTATTTGTACTACAAAGCCACAATTTGTGCAAGGTCACAGAAAACTGTTGATGCTGATAAAACAGGCTGGCCATGGGCGGCATAAAAAGAAATTCATCTGACACATAGCAGGAACATTAGAGAAGCCAGACCGACATTTGGGTACATTCCTGGAAATAAAGCTTCACTCTGGTGAATTGAAAAGAGAAAGGGTTCAACAGAGGACTATTAGAGTCTTTAAATGGCTTTTTACAACTGTTTCTTTTCCCAGAAGTATCAAAAATCTGTTTATAACTCCACTAAACAAACTGAGGACATTTACTAAAGACAAAAAAATTACTGAAAGTTGCTTGAAAAGAAATGGTTGACTGCAGCTCCGAGACAAGGTAGTACCGAGATGATAAATAAATATAAACTATTTCAATTTACCTTATGAATATATTGATTCATTAACTATCAGTATGGTATGTCATATACAGTTTGCTGCAGAGGTTTTAACTTGAAAGCAATGGACTTGCTAACATTTTGCTAAGCAACCAGTCTTATTTTTCTGTTAGTAAAACAAACTAAAATGAATGTACATTTCCACCTTTTATACATTCAGAATCTAAATAACAGTATTTACAATTGGATATGGAAAAGTGTGACCCTGGAATACAACAACCATACAGAAGGCAAGAGTTGCCAGACAGCATAAAATTATTATGGTGCCATATCTCAATATATGGAAAAACCATTTCTTTAAAAAAAAAAAAGGAGATAAATTTTCCACTTAATGAGCAACAACCCCCAATAGAGATGTATGTATATATATTGATAAAACATATAAATCCATCTCTACTGCATTGCATCCTCATAGCCTTCTGGACAAATCATTCTTATAGCATGATTCTGTCTCCTGTTGTCATGGCGTCACTGTCTCCCTTTCCATATCAACCGGAGAGCTTTGATGCTCTTCTGCTGCATAGAAAGGCATACAGGATAGGATCCACCATCTCGCTTCAGCACTCTCTCTTTCCACTTCTTCTCTAACAGATTGCAAAAAGACATTTAGCTGTATATCTTCTATGTTCACAAAGCCTTCGAAAGGTGTCTGCTTGAAACAAAGCACCGAGGTAGTAAGGCAACCGAACCAAACCAGTTTAAGAATTAGAGGTCTTCCATTGGAAAAGGCCTATAGAGGCTGTTACTCCAACCCTTACATTGGGAACAGAGGTAGATGTGGGTGGTTTCTTCATTAATTCCCCTAGGCTTCTGTCAACCTCTTTAGAGCTTTGAGACGGGCTACAGCAAAACCAATCATTATATCAGACTCGTTATTTTACAGCTTTCTTGGTGTGATGAATTCTGTAACATGCTCCAAGATGGTTTCAGGTGTTTAAGATGAATATTACTCATGCATACAAAAAAAATCTAATGAGAAACTGCTCCACAATGACTTAAATCCGTGTCACAGCTTCAAGATCCTAATCTTTAAGGGGGTAATTTAACTTAAGGGAACATTACAGCTAATTTTTTTAGTTTGTGGAGGTAGGAATTTGACTTATTTGGCTCAAACACAGTGCTGGTTTTAGACAAGCCTTACAAGGGGGCCAGACTCGGGCAAGTGTTTCCTTCTTAGGGGCACAGAACTAAAGAACTACATCACACTCTCAAAACAAAACACAAAAAACAAACAAAAAAAAAATTGGCAAGAATTCATCATTTAGTATAGTAGGTGAGCCACAAAGCCAAGCTTACAGACCCATTTCATCCAACAGATAGAAACAGTGATCCTATTTTCAACATAACCGAAGCTTGAAATATATGATTATAATTTTTAAATAACTATTGAAGTAAGTTTTAAAGGCAAAATACAAAATTTGTCCAATTGGGACAAATCAGTTATGGTCCCTTCACCATAAGAGACCACGGTCTCTATGATCGTCATAGGGAAATTATTTTGTATTACTCTGCAAAAACTGATCTTAAAAATTAAAAAAAAATCATAAAATAACTGTATTTGCCTTTAATTTGAACAGGTAAAATAAGATGCTTGGCCAAAGGAACTAAGTATGTTGCCCTTAACATAAGATATTCACTTCAAATATGATAATGGAGTCTTTTTTTCTTATTTTAAATATAATCTTTTCTTAAATCAAGGAAAATAAAACTTATTTTAATATAGATTCTATTGCTTATACTGGAATTTCCCAGTGTATGATTTCAGCACAAGGGCCATAACAGGGGCCAGTACAGGATTTACAGGGGCACTGCTGATTGGCCCCCTGTCTAGAACCGCCTGTGAATTTACCAGAAGTCATCTGATATTCACAGTATATATCATATGTGTCATTATAATTACAGTTAAAACATGAGGTCATCATTTACAGTCAGGACCTAGAAGTGGAAAAATGAGTTTAAACTTCCCAAAAACTCTATAAGGGCTGCAGTTTGTTCATAAAGTGAGGTGATGTATGGCTGCCGATCATCGGGTTCATAAAGCTGGAAGTCTAATCCATAAGTTAATGAGCACAGCTCAACATTTCCCATCAGTGCATTAATATTTACATGGCTGTGAGCGCTCACAAGGGCGCGTTTACCGGGAGCAAAGGCTTCGAACGCGCCTCCACCAATCAGACATGATCATTGGATCTATCCGCCGTCTGATTGGTTAATCGTCCCCAGCAGTTCGGGAATGCGAACGTAAGGAAATGCCACATTAACCAATCAATGAGTTGGCCACGGAGCAGAGCAGCGCTCAGTAGTGGAACATCTTCCAGTGAGGCAGGCGGGGAAGCAGCATCAGCCACGCACCAGGAGCCTCGGTGCGGGTCACACGTTCACCGCAGCGCCCCGATCTGAACTAACGTGAAGGATTACTGCGCCGAGCCGCTTTTTTTTATGCGCTCCACCACTCCGCTTTGTTTCTGTTTATTATCCTGGAGGAGACGCGTCACTGCGGCTTATCAATTCCCCCTTCTCCAGAACTGGGAATTACAATGAAACATGTAAGGTGACACATTTGGTGTGGGATCACTGGGAACTGGGAGAAGAAAACCAAGGTAAAAACAAACAAACAAACAAACACCTATCTTTGTCTTGATAGTTAAGGGGAATGTTAAAATGGATGGAAAGCTTATAATATCATCTCCTGGTAATTAATTGACTTATTTTCAGGTTGTAAATCCCATTAAAATGATGCAAACCTTCACTGCATATATAACAGTTATTAACAGGTGCATGTTGAGGCTTTCAGTGATTCCACATTTGCGCTGCTAAGGCGCATGTGTGGCACTGCAATGTCTGCGCTTTACTGCTGAGCTTCTGTTTATTTATTGAGATGATTAAGAAAAAAAAAAAAAGAAAAACCCTCCGCATTGTTGATCATTTCATACCAGCTATTGTCTGCCTCTCCGCCTCTTTAAGGGGGAAAATGGTGACTGGTGCCGCATCTCTAGGATCAGCACCCTCTTTGCGTAAAAACGGGGGGTGGGGGGGTGAATGAGGCATTTCAGGCGCTTTCATTATGCCAGTGTTGTTTGTGCTGCAGTGGGGTAGACTGGGTTTATCACGGGGGTGTTCACTCTCATCTGATGCCATGCATGCATACAATACAGTAACGCCTCAACATAATGCAACAGAACCCTCCCTCCCATTTTGTTCCTTCTGTGTTGCTCTGAATGCAGCAGCAGCATCCATACATTGACTCATCTGGATGCCTAAAATTAGGAGATTGTGTTGTTCCCCCCACCCCCCATTGCCCTTAAAGTGTGTTTTTGTGTGTTTAGGAGTTTTAGGGGAAACAATTGTTCACACATTTGCAGGGACACTGGCACAGACACTCATGACTGGCTCTAAGGGGAGCGTAATTGCCTCATGAATGTTAATGCATTGTCCTGATGCAGAACACTGCAAACTACCCCCCCTCCTTTTTTTTTACTCCCTCATGGACCTCACAGGTGCTGCCTAGCCTTACCTGACTTCTGCTGTGCCTGTGTGAATTTGTAGGTGTGCATACGCTTCTGTGTTTGGGTATTCATCCATGTAGGTGTATGTGTAGGTGCATGTTTGTGGATGATATCACCCTGGATATTGTTGCAGGGCCATGTGTGGTTTGCGGATGTGTTTTAACCAGGATCATTAGAGCAGCACACCTACACCTGTCTCATCCTGTTACTGAAGTGAGGGTACATTAGGGGAGTGCTTCCTGTCCTCTGTAATTTAGGCTTTTAAGAGTTCACTTCAAATTGTTGATGTGGTAACCGCAGAGCAGAAACAAAGGCAGAGTATTTTGAAATTCACCTAAAACAAACGTTGTTTTAGGTGAATTTTAAAATACTCTGCCTTTGAATCTCTATGATCTCTTTTTAAAGTATGCATGCACAAAGTTGCATGTTTCTTTTAAATAATAAGTCTAGCAAGAGTAACCACGTCTGTTAATATCTGCTGCATTCTGCTCAGTGCTGTGGAATAGTTTGAGTTTATCCCAGCCCCCACTGGGAAAGAGGAGGAATACATCCTGGACAGGTCATCGGTCTGTTGCAGGGCTGATAGACAAATAGCTATGACCTTACAACATGCTCCTAGTTCACAGCAATTTATCTTCTAACATGCTTCATCTTTTCTGCTGTTGAGGGAACCTTGAATACCTGAAGGAAAACATAAAGATAACATGCATCAGAGAAGAAGATGCAAATTCTACAGGTTTTTTTCTTAACCCAGGATCTCATTGCAGTGAGGGAGGAGAACTGACCTCTGCGCTGTAGTGCATTTCTCCAATCACACACACACAAATGTCACAAAGCCAAATAGATCATTCAAATTTGCTCATTTATGCTCACGTTATAACTGCCTTTTGAAAAACTCACATTAATTTTGATTTTAAAAAGAGCAAACCTGCAAACTAAAGGAATATTTTGGATGATAGGTCAACTTATTGATCAAATACCTAAAACTGAAAAACAATCTTTTGTGTCCGGATTATTTTATATTTCTCTTGGTTGTATTTGGGCAAAGATATGGTCAGTTTGTGTCAAATTGAATCTAAACTTGAATTCATTCAGCAAAGAACTTTATTCTAAATTCTGACCAGTTCATAATAATTGTATCGTTCTTTTTTAAATGTACACTGTGTAACTTCTGACCAAAGAGTTGCTTAATTTGAGATTTATTAAATAATTTTTCTGACTAACATGGAGCACTTTGAGCACATCAATGCTCCATATGGGTTGCTGTTTAAAAAAATAACCAAGCATATGTAGCTTGATAGGGTTGAAATTTGTCACCGAATGAATCATGTGACCCAGAGCAGCTCTTTAAGACAATCTGAGTTCACCAAAGGCAGCAACATAATTATAACACTTACCTGCTCAGACATATTTCTGGTTCTGTGAAGTAGAATTAAATCTAAGCAGGTAGATGTGGCCTTGTCTTTACAATAAATATATCACTTCTCAATGTGCTGCTCCAAAGTGGTCTGCTATCAGATTGTAAAACGCAGAGAAAGGTTGTTTAATTTTGCGGCAGTGTTGTGTTGTCTGTGGCCCTTCAGGTGAACTAAATCTGGATCTTACAGGTCCAGTGCCCCCTACTGGCTAAAACATAAGTAGATATTAAAAAAATAATTCTGAATATTTCACCCCTCCTTTCAAACTGTTTGGAGTCGTGGATTATTTTTATGAGGATTATAGTAGATTACGCTCTATCCTGGTTCAACAGTCAACACTTCCAGTTTTATACCATTATTTTATAACAAATGCAAACTGATTACAGGTAATTGTTTATAGAGAGACTTCTGTTGGTTCACCTCATCAAGCAAACAAGCATCTATCAGGAATCCCTGCCGTTTGCTCATTGCCGTGGAGTTGAGGTTGACGATGCCATCATACACCTGCTTTAATAAACCCACTGCCATTTAGACAAGGTAGAGAGCCCCATGAAGATCACATTCTCTGATTTCTCCAGGGCATTTAAGACAATTCATCCTGATTCACTTTGTGAGAAACTCTAGCAGACTCAGGTGGAGGCATCAACAATCACCTAGATAAAAGACTACCTGATAAACAGACCGCAGTTTGCTAGAATGAAGGGTCAGCTGTCTAATTAAGTGGTCAGCAGAACAGGAGCACCACAGGGGTCGGTACTCTCACCATTCCTTTTTACTCTGTATACCTCTGACTTCCAGTACCAGGCAGAGTCCTGTCATCTGCAGAAATACTGTGGAAACAAACATCTGATCCTGAATGTCAACAAAACAATGGAGATGATTGTAGATTTCAGAAGAAACATTAACAAGTTGAAACCTATTAAAATCAAAGGAGAAGATGTGGAGGTAGTTTATGAGTATAAATACTGTGGTGTTCACCTGGACAGTAAGCAAGATGGAAATACAACTGATAAGGGACAGTGAAGATTACTTCCTAAGGAAGCTTAGGTTCTTTGGCGTTGGCAGAAATATGCAGCATATCTTGTATAAGTCTGTTTTGGAAAGTCTGATCTCTTCTTCCATCCTCTGCAGGAGTAACATTATTAGAGTTAATTACTTAAAAAAGCTCAACAAGCTAATTAATAAGGCCAGTTCTGTTCGAGGAACTCCTCTAGAACCTCTGGAGATTATTTTGCAGTGAATAAGATTATGGACAACAGAAAGCATCCTCTTCAGAAGATTTTTAAACAACAACAGAGTGTCTTCAGTCAGAGGCTTACCAGATACGGTGCAAGACAGACAGCAACAGAAGATCCTCCCTGCCTACAGTTACTATCAACACCTACAATACCTGGTTAAAAATAATGAATAGTAATAATAAATGTTCATATTAATGAATGACCATGTAAAGTAAAAAGAAAAAAAAATTAACTTCAATGGATAATGCATGGCATAATTAGAATTTTCGAATTTGAATAAACTTAATGAGAAAAAAATAACATATGAGCCACTGCAGCATTTCATTTCCCTTTGTGATTAATAGAGTATTTTTTAATTGAATTAACCTGTCTGACCTGTAAACTTTTCTATATCTGTAATATAATAATGGTCTTGTTTAACCAAATTGATAAACGAAAGATGTCTTTTTTTGATTTAATTGTTTCTGTTTTAAATTTTTTGTTAAACTACTTGTTACGTTTTTCTAGGTTTAATTGGTTAATGTGCCCAAGTTGGCTTTTGAGTAAAATCCTTCGTGCTTTATGTGATATTTTCTATTAGAAGGAGATTTTTGACTTGTCAGTGATAACCTAAAATGATACAAATGGTGTCCATCTGCACCAACTGCTGGTCTTAACTCAGGTTTAAGCCACATTTGAATTATAGTTGGAGGATGTACAATTGGTTGAGCTCCAAATGGACCCATGGGCCACACTTTGGTCTCTCTTGCTCCAGTGGATAAAAACTGAGCACATGTGGTGAACTTTGTTCTGTCTTCTTGTTATCTGCTCCAAGTCTTGCTCTCTCTCCATCTAAATCAGGAGTTTCAAACTCACATTTATGCTTGGCTATTTCGTAATTTTCTAGTCTTAAGGGCCGTTTGCACATGTTTAAAAGTGAACTTTTGATTTCATCATTTTGTTTACAAAGACAATTGCTCTGGTATTAAAACTTCTGTTGATTTTGTATTTTTAAATACTTTGTTCACTTAAAAAGAAACATGACTGCTGTATTTTGTAAAATGATATGCTATTGCTGGCTGGATTAATTGCCATGGTGGCTGGATTTGGCCTGTGGGCCTTAAGTTTGACACACATGGTCTAAATTGGAGGTCTTCAACAGGCGGCCCGCGACCCCTAGGGGGTCCAAGGAGGTACTGCATGAGGGTTGCAAAAGTTTTGGTTAATTAAAATTTTTTTCTTTTTTTTTATATCCCCCCTGTAAGTTTTTTCACTAATTGAAATGTCTTTAAATCCACATTAACATGAATTCAACACACTGTAGTAAACAGATAAATGGAGGCAGAAGATAACTTTCAGTCATAAACGCACACATTCAGCGACACTCTTTCAAGCTGGGCACCGTGTATTTTATTTTTATTTTTTTTATTTATTTATTTGAATAGGGACAATGCACATT